CTAGATTATTATTTTTTTCTATTCTTTTAGCTGTTTTTCCGTAGTTACGCAAGCAGGGGCTTGGGCCCTGCGGTACAGCCGGGTTGGCGTGAGGAATCTGAGCTGCGCGTTGAGTAGAGAGGCCCCGGAGACGCTGGGGAAGACTCAGACAGGCCGAGTGCCCGTGCTCCCCTCTCCTGGCAGCCAGGGGTGTCTGACCGCGCCGGGTCAGCGGGGAGGAAACCGTACGTATCCAGAGCTAGGTGACGCTTCCGCTTTTGCGACGAGGCGCGGCGCAGAGAGCTGTGGTGCTGCGTGCTTGCTAACGGGAAAACAACTTCTTCCGCGCCAGTTTGCGTTTCTAGAGTGGGTGTCGGCAGTGACGCTTCTCTCATAGATAGCAGATTTTAAAATAATTAATTATAAAGGCGTAGTCTCGCTTCTGTTTCAGAAGGTGGGGGCACAAAGATTGGTGGAAAAATTCACACTCGCGTTTGTCTTGAGATATTGGTGTGCAGGTCCCGGCTGCTTCGGGCACGGCAGCCTCCTTCGCCCCGGGCTTGTTAACAAAAAGTGCCTTGTTATTATCCCGGCTCTCTGGGTCTGTGTATTTATTTATTTGTTTGGACGACGGGTAGAAGCTTTTCCGAGGTCTGGAGTAGAGATGTAGCAGAAAGTTCCTCCAGTAACCTGCTTAGGAGTTCCGCAGGAGTGCCTCGGGCTGCGGCGTTGCTGTTCAGCAGCAGTCCCCGCCGCGGGGGTGGTCCCCTACGACAGCCGCTTGTTCCCACCCTGACGCCGCCTTCGTCGTCGTGCTTCAGCAAGCTGCTTACGAACCCACGGCGTGGGCCGGGCCCGGCGGCTGATCCAGCCCAGAAACGGCTCTGCGGAAGCGAGGCCGTTTTGGTGTTCTGCTTTGCTTTTCAGAAGAATTGGTCCCTGACGCCGCGCGGGCGTTTTGGCTGGTAGCGGGGGTTGTTTTTCCTCGGCGTTGGCTCTCGGCTCTGTTTTGCCACGCGGCCGGGTAAGCGGCCTGCTTAAGCCAGGACTGACCGCCGGCGCGTTGTGCGTCCGTCCGTCTGTCTGTCTGAGAGCTGGGGCTGGTTCTGCGCCCACCCCACCCGGTTCTTCAGCCTTTTATTCGGCATCCGAGTGCGTGCGGTGCCGTAGGTCTGTAAGAAAGTATCCGCAGATACTGGGAGCCGTCACTGTCTCGTTGCAACCCGGGTCGAGCTGGACACGGCGCTCTGCTCTGCGCTGGAGAGCTGCGCGCTTTGTGCGGGTAGCACGGCCTAAAAGAGAGTTGCAGCGGTGACAGCAGAAGCCGAGGAGGTCGGGGGGCGTTTGGTCCTGGACGCCGTTTCCGTTACTGTGCAACACGTCCCTTTCTTGGCCTCGCCGCTGCTTTGGGCAGGGATAGCCTGTTGGTTTTGTAGCGACGTCTCGGCGAAGTCAGAGTCCCGATTTCCTTTCTTGCTTTGCCCTCTGCCTTTGGGGCCTTCACTGTGCAAAGGCAACCGGCGCCTTAGCAGAAGGACGGGAGCTAGTGCCGTTCCTGCCACGCAGGAGCCGCGTGAGCTGCTGAAGAGGGTTACCCGGCACAAACTGCGGCTGTCCTGAGCAGGGAACGCTAGAGACGGAGCAGAGACTCGACTGGATTCCCTCTTGTGGGGGAAGGGTCCTGAGGGGGTTTCACAGAGGGAAGGGACATCAAACACGCCAGACTTGGCCAGGAACGCGTTTACCTGTTGTTTCTGTTTGGGGAAAAAGGAACGCCCCTGGCAAGGGCATCACCTTCCCAGCGCAGGGTTTAACAGAAGTTTGGTCTGTTCAGACCCTTTTCTTCTCTGGGGTCCTGCAAGGAAGCGAACCCACTGTCCGTGCCTCTGCCCTTCTTGGTTTGCAGCACCCCTAAATGCTTCCTGATGGAGCTGCGGACCCTGCGTGGTGAACTGCAGCCTCCTGCAGCTGGGTTTTCTTCTCTCGCTTCTTTACAGGGCCTTTGCCTAACGCCATAAGCAGATGGGTTGAAAACCGCTACGTCGTAGTGTCAGAAGCTTCAGCAGTTCAGACGGCTTTTCAGAGTGACTCGATGGTTTCGTGAGCTGTGTGCAGTTTAGAATTTTACATTGCATCGACACTGCTCGGGAGCTTGGGGAGAGCAGAGGTAAACTGCGAAGTAAGAATGTCCCAGGAGCATCTCGAGCCTTTCCTCGGCCGTTGCTCTACGCAGCATCCCGCTTTTGCTCTTAGCTTTGCAACGGTGCTCGCCGCTTCAGGGGCGGGACGCTTTGGAGAAGAAAACTGAGCTACGCGCAGGGTCTGAGGGAGGAGTGCTCGTAGGACAGCTCTGAGCTGGGTCTGTCGTCAGGGCGCTCGGTGTCCTCCTCTGCTGGGGACAGCCGCCGGGTCGCCGGCGGAGGTGGCAGGCACAGGGTACGCTGATGCCGTTCGTCGAATACTGTCGCATTTAAAAATGGCCTTACGGCTGTGGGGCAAGAATGAAGAGAACTAGCTTCTGCTTAGAAAATTTTTCACTTGCTAGCATTGGAGAGCTGTTTATTTGCCTTGGATAGATATGTCTGACTTTGAATGAGATTCCTCAATTTCTGATCTCTTAATTGCAGACTCTTAAAACCTTTGATTTCTGTTCGTCGGCTCTACAGTAGGCAAATCTGCTTAATTTACTAGGAGTTAGTTATGAAAACATTGTTAAAAGGCAGGCTAAAATTTTACTTGGATTGGTTGTGATGGCAAAACCTGCTGGGGGATTATTTTTTGTTACGTTTATAAGATGGGAGGATTGACGGTGGGCATCTGTGGCTGCGTCTAAGGGCTTGTCGAGTGTCGGAGCCGCTGTTAGCGTGATGGGTAAGAAACTGAGACTCGCTGCGACTTGCAAGTTGCCGCGCCGCAGTTTCCTCTGCCGTGGGAGCAGTGGGAGGATCTGCCCCCGAGACCTCGCTCTCACGGGAGCTGGCATTTGTGATATCAGCTTGTGCTAGCTCTCCGGCTCTTCGGTCCGTGGCCTCCACCCTGCCCGAGTGTACGCTGCCTCCCCCGCTGCCCCAAGCACCCACGGGGTTGGGGTTTTTTTTTTAATTTTGTTTAGTTCGCTGTGCTCCGTGGGAGAGGTTTAGCCAAAGTGATGCGCGAACCCTAAACAGTCTTCAGGTGCCACCAAACAAGTTTTTATTCTGGCAGAGTAGAATTGTCAGGTTCTTGGTTACAGGAACGCAAAAAAGAGAAGAAAAGCACTCCAAAAAGAAACACAGACTCTGAGTGTCCTTGACGTTAATCCGTGGCTTTGGCTGCTCCTTAGGATCTCCTCCAAGCTGCGTTCCCCGTAAGGGAACAGAGGACGCCGCTACCCAGGGCTGTGCCCCTAAAATGCTCCAGGGAGACCTTGTGGGGGTTTAACCCTGGTGAGAGAGGCAGTGGTTTAACCTGCACCCCCGTTAGCAGCCTTTTCGGAAGGGGGCCCGTCCCTGCTCCTTTGGGGGGGATTTTAACGCTTGCCTGAAAGTTTACAGTCGGTTCGTAGATGTCTTTGTTTGTTTGGTAGGTTGGTGTGGTGACTGTTGGTAAGGCCGCACCTCGACTACTGTGTTCAGTTTTGGGCCCCTCACTACAAGAAGGACGTCGAGGTGCTGGAGCGTGTCCAGAGAAGGGCAACGAGGCTGGTGAGGGGTCTGGAGAACAAGTCTGATGAGGAGCGGCTGAGGGAACTGGGGTTGTTTAGCCTGGAGAAAAGGAGGCTGAGGGGAGACCTCATCGCTCTCTACAACTACCTGAAAGGAGGTTGTAGCGAGGTGGGGTCGGTCTCTTCTCCCAAGTAAC